TTTAATGACAAATAAAAATCAAATAAAGACTCCAAAATTAGAATTAAAGCGGTTCAGACCAAGCAAACTGAATAAAAAAAATGGAAAAAAGTGAGCAAAATGGAGAAAAAACTTGCTTGAGTTAGCCTCGCATAAGAAATATTTAGTATGTGTAGGAGAGAGGGGGCTGGGGTAGGAGAAAGATTTAAATAAAATTTGGGAGAGAAGAGAACACAGTTCTACTTCGCATAACTAGCTAAAAAGAATGATATTTAGAAACAGGTTAAAATGCAGTCTTTTCATTAAAAAAAAAATTACATTTATGGGCGACTGAGGACTCCCAAAGGGGAAAACAATCGATAAAGGTCTTATGAGCATACTTAGTTGGGGAGTTACTATACAATTATCAGAGCACTGAGTATAGATTATAGACAGGAAACTTTGTTCTCAGATTTTTAACCGATAATTTAGGTCTAATACATGATCTTGTACAGACTCTCCTAAGTAGTGTCCTAAATTGCATTTATACCTCTCAAGTCGACGAGGTTTCCCTGGCAACTAATTTAAATTTATGATATGAAAAGTACTCCTTTGGAAAATCCTCCCATCCAAAGACTGGACGAAAGGACTTTGAACAAGGACACTTGTCGAGGGAAAGCTTGTCCAGCGAAAACTTTGGTGGTCTTTTTGAAAAGTCTGCTTTATTCATCTGAATGGCGTGCTTCATATTTCTTTGGTGGCCTGTGATAAAGCGTGCGTCCAAATTGAAGCGAAATGCATGGAGGGAATTTCTTTGGCTAAAACATTTAAATTACCGCGTTGAAAATGTTACAAAATAAGTATTTCACACTTCAGCGTCCGTTCATCGATATATGAAATACTCGGGGAGCAAGAGCAAGAGAGTTCATTATGAATTTCTTGAGGCGAAGCCGAAAAAAACGCTAGCTTCTTGAGTGCTCTCCAAACTTCGTAGGGGATTCTTGTATCGATGGACGTGCACCCCGCATAAAACAATCGTTAACGCTGATTTAGAATTTTTCCAAACAGAATAGAGATATCCTCAGATTAAGACGACTTCCGTGATGTTATTTCCGCTTGTTGGATTTTGTTCGCTCTGATCTGAGAAAAAGACCTGCGCGTATTTGTCCAGATAGTTTTAAATTCTCTTTTTATAATCCTGTTCAAGTATCCGTATAAATAAGGATTTATAACTCCCGTGGAGTAATAAAGTCCAGAGACAATGGACTGTAGTAATTCCGTCCCATAATTTCTTGTGTGTGAGGACCACAGGTTTACCACTATATATGGTGTCCAGGCGATAAATAACACTCCAACGATCGAGGCCAATGTCAAAGCTGTCTTGATATCTGCTCTGAGGGCAGAATGCGGCTTGCGCATGCAATATTGTCCCGATATGACCGCCGCTGACACTTGTGCACCAAGTTCGGGCTCAAGTACTGCAGCCATTTCCCTTTGACGCAATGCCTTTACTTCGCGGGCGATTTGCTTCGAATGACGTAAAGCTACTCGCAGTATACTGATGTAAATAAAAATAATAGAAACCAGCGGCATAAAGTAGATTGTAGTCATTTTGAAGTATGTAAAACTAACGGATATGTGGTAATTGGATTCGCAAAGCCACTGTCCAGGGAAAGCATAATAACGACTCCATCCCAGAAGAGGATAACACGCTGATAACAACGCATAAAACCAGATGAAGAATATGCATAAAACGGTCCTGTTACGGGTTACCCAGCCTTTGTATTTCAGAGGAGTTAGTATGGCTAGATACCTGTCCATGCTAACTGATAAAAGCGTCAAAACTGAGACTGCGCTCGTAGCATGTTGGAAGAATCCAATGATGTCGCAGCCAGTTTTACTCACGACAACGTAATTACTTGCCGTGGTTGCGATGCTGAATGGTAGTAGAAACAACGCCACCAGAATGTCATTGATGGCCAAATTCACAAGGAAAATACAGGAAGGAGAATGAAGACGCCTCACTCTATAGATAATGTAGCAGATTGCAGTGTTCCCAATGACTGTAGACACGATCATAAACACTATCACCACAACTAAACCCACAGCCATGGTGATAACTTGTCCTAGCTTTCCATCATCAGTCAGTCTCTGTTAATATTATTGAATCCTTCCTTTCTTTAGAAACTTATTAGAGACCTGGTAAGAGAAAACAGAGTCTCACATACACTTCGCTGTCACTGAATTATAAATGACCCGCTACAGAGCAGATCTGAACAATAACCCGAACCATGGAAATAAAGAATGGATAAACAATACGAGATAACAAACAGAATCTCACCTTTTTGAGACTAGAGAATTTATCATCTCCTTTGAAATTATGGCCGGAAGAGCTAGCGGTTTTTTAACACTCAGTGAAATAAGGGTCAGAAAAAGTAAATTATCCCGCTCTCATCTATCCTATGCCCTTCGTTTTTAAACCGACAACTAAACAGGCAATTTAAACTATATTTTCCAGACTTTTCGCCTCACGAAAGAACGTTGCCGGCAAAGTGTGCACCAGGTTAATTAAAGCACAGAGGGTAGTTTTACAAAGTCTAAACCTTAGGTTACTAATTGAACATTTACATACGCATTCTTCCTAGGGTACTTAGGAACGAGAGTCGACAGAAAGAGCTGACCTCGTGGGAGAGAAATTTTCTGGATTTGATACAGACAAATAGATGCTTCTTCATCAGCCAAAAAAGTGGTAGTTTGGCTTTTGGTAAATGAAATTATTTGTTAGATGATAACTGGTTCGTGAAAATTTCTTAACAATGATGAATGTCTGTTTCGGTGTCGCAAAGAATAATGAATTAATTGTGCCAAAATAATGGACACTTTTACATGACAAAACGCATTCTTTGTGCCGTATTTTAGTTTCCATTGAAGATTCCGTGCAATTCTGCGGCGGTTTGATTTTTTATCAAGGGCGCCTACAAACATAAATATGACCAAATTTCCAAGGAAATAATTTCTCCAGAAGTCCCATACGATATCTAGAAAATTACGCAAGTAAGGGAGAATGATTTGTCCGCGATGGAAGACTTCGTTACTGAGGACTTCCTCCGGCCTGGCAATTCTGTTTCATAAATAGCAATTTTCTTAAATTGTAACTCCTTGTGAGCACAATCTTTAAAGGAAATTATTTTGAGGCAGTTGCAAACCCTTCAGCCCTTAAGCTTGTGATCTTCATTTCAGAGGCTTTTCTTCTAGCATAGGTGGACATTAGGTAACAAAAGAATAGAATTTCTTAGCTTCCTCAATTATTTGACGTCTTTCATCTAAGCTTTCCGAAAAAAAGATAAAAGCCAGTTAACACTTAATTGCCTCCAAAATTTCTCAATCTGTTTGCTGACTGCATGCCTCAGCTCTCTTGTTTTGGTGAGCCTAATTATTTTGAATAAAATTGTCTTTTGGTTTGTCTAGTCTTTAGAGAGTTAAATTGGCCAATTTTACTCTTCCGATCACTTAGTTTTTTAGCAACGGCTTTCTTTGTCGCAATCCGATTTTACCCCGCTTTGGTCTTTATCAGTTTATCTACAGATCAAACGCGCTGTAGGTACCTTCTTCCTTGTGTCTGACATTTCCAATGTTGCTAACCTGGCGACGGTCTATCTCTCTGAGGAACAAATAAAAACAACACAGGATCGCCTGCGGAAACAGGAACAAAGCGCTTACGCTTTCATGTGAAATTTTCGCTATTTTCACTGATGAATTTAAAAAATAGTTTTAATTCGGAAAAGCCGGTCCGGTTTGGAAAACTTCCGAATAAAAATTAATCAAGTTTTGCCTGCAGAGTTCAAAAATCCTCAAACAGTTGATATCCACGATTTCACACGAAATGCTCTTGAATATTAATTCAGTGTCTTTTCATCCGAACACCTGTCATATTTCATAATTTTTAGCCTCGAATATATGTTACCACCTAAATGTGGTGCAGAAATGTTAAGAAACAGACTTACAAAGCAGTTTTAGTCTGTAGGAAGTTTTTTTCTAATGAGGACTAAAAAGGTCTACTTTTTCCTTTTCCACGCGCCACAGCTAATCCAAATTCGAAAATTTCAAAAGTTAAAATGTTGCATTTACATGAAACCGTCTGAGTTGCACTTTCGACCTCTTTGAGTTGTGGAGTCTGCTTTGTTAAATTTTGTCCTCCAATAGCTATCGCATCACAGCAAAAGCATGCTTATCTCTGTAATGTAGGTTTATAAAACAGTTAACTGTGTTGCTGAAGGTTTTTTGTGCGCAAAGCCATGAATAGAGGAACCGCATGTGTAATTAGCACACACAAAGCCACCGGCCCCGCTATGAAGTTGTGGATTAAGATTATATCCTCTGATTGTAGGGGACAACAAATGTTTATCACACAGACCTTTCAGCAATTTTATTAAAAAGCCGCTAAACGAAGACGAACATTTAAAAACTTGGTTTCTTTTTCAACCTGTAGACAAAAAATGCTGCACTGTTGAAAAAATTTTTTTTCCTAGGCTTTTTCGGAAAGTGCTTTCCTATTAGAGAGAAGGAATCCCATCATTTCTTTCCTATAAAAAATCATTTGATCATAATAAATGGGTGATATTCTAATAATTCATGTTGAAGTTATTGCACTTCCTCGTCAGCCGGAAAAAATTATTCAATATTTGGAAAAACCAACAAAGTATTTGATAATTAATTCCTTTCATTGTTTACTAAGGATTATTTATTCTACCAGAAAAAGACTAGAATATTCCAAAATGAGGCAAATCCTTCCCGAAAGTCAGAGACTCAGTCGCTTTTAAAAGGAATTAACGTAGTATTTGTGGTAACATTGGTGTACATTTGCCTGCGTGAAGGAGGTGTTATCCTTAGAAGGACTAGTTTAATAGAATGCTTGTTTAATGTCACTGATATGAATGGTTTTAAGTAGTATTTGTTTAGTACATGTAGTTAACGAGAAAAATGGCGCTCAAGTCGTCGCAATGGCTTCCATTTCGAAGCCTGATTTCGTTGAAATGAAAAAGAAAACGGAGAAGTTAACTGGCTTTTTTTTACGTATTTTTACGATATTTCGTGATTTTAACCTCCCCAAAAATGAACTTATGAAAATAACATTTATCAACGAATATTATATGCGCCGCTGTGGAGATGAAGTCAAAGAAAATGTATTAACTCACCATGATAGGTAGATGCTCGTTAAGGAGAAAAAATGAAATGTTTTTTAGAGCACAGACTTTTTTTCTACCTATTAAAGTCGTAATAGAACGTTACGTGTTAATCGAAAGGTATAAAACTCCAGCTCACAGCTATTTCTCATATTTCGGTGCATTTTCAAGAGTGTTTTTTTAAGTAATTCGTTCCGAAGGGACTAGTTAAATGGATGAAAACTAAAGCAACTAATCTTTCACAGAAGTAGGAAGAGAAGAATAAATAACCGAATTTTGAAATTAATTAAAGTCGACAGTAAAGATTAAATATTCAAAAATAGACATTGCAAGCTTCAAGTCAGTTATTTAAACAAGCTCAAACAACTCAAATTAGTGCTGTTTCCTTTTTTTCTGCATGAAGCTTCGAAAATGAAACTTTGCGGTTTCAACTTAATTTTTTTTCACTTTACACATCGATTTTAGAGTGCATGACTAACAATTCAGCGCGCCGTCAACACAACTTATTGTGGTGTAATAAGTAAACAGAATGGCCTTTACTTTTCTCCCAAAACACCAGGTGCTAGGGAACGAATACAGCTGAGTACTGATAAACCAGCCTTTCTAGAAAGAAGAAATATCTACTGAAGCTCGATCGGCAAAATCTAAGGGTTCCGTCCCGGTCGTTTTTGACATCCAGTCTCTATTCCCGTTGCTTTTGAAGGTGTTTGCATCTTAAATTTTAGCTGAGTTAAATGCAAAATACAAAAAACATTTTGATCAGAGAGTAAATTCAAATTAATGTTTTGCAGACGCTACATAATTTGTAGGTAGGTGGCAAAATTGTCGCCCCGCGAAAAATAGATACCTCTAAAAATTAATTGCCTTCATCAATCTTAGGTAGAGAATATCAGGAATTCTCGGAGGCGTTTATTCCCAAGGGAAACTAATTTTTGAACGGGATACGAAATGTTAAAAAAATAACACCGAGAGTGCTGAAAATGTTTAATGAAAAAGAGGCTGGAGTACTCACCTCATCAGTTAGTTTTGCTGTTAGTCAGAGTTTTTCTTAAAAGAGAACTAACTGATTTTGGTCAGATTGAAATATTAAACGTATGCGCAGGACGAAATAGAAACTTCAGGCAAGACACAAATAATTAAAAATCAACCTTTAAATAACAAATTAACTGCTTCAAAATTTTCTTACCGAGTTGGGCTTCACACTTGCAAAATTCAGTTTTAGATCGAAAATTTCCTCACGCAAGGAAAATTCTTCGTCGAAGCTCGAATCGCCCTTGGCATTCGACTGGTATTTCAATTAGCCAGTGCCTCCTAAACATAATGGTTCGCATCTTAAGACCCTTGGAGCTTGTGAATAACTAAATTGGACTGCGTATAACGTACATATCCGGTCAAATATAGCGCTCTCTCTTACGGGTTATCTGTCATGTAAAATGCATTTTCATGTGATTGGTCCTTTTTATGTAAAATACCGGTTCGCAGGAAGCGAGAGGGGAATTAAATTATGTCATGTCTAATATTTAGCATGAAGAAGAAATAATGTAATTATGTAACGAATGCACATGTAAAACAACCTCTGTCTATTGTGAACTTTCTTCAGGTCATTAAGGAATTAATTTATATTTTGGAGCTCACTAGGGGGGCTGAACTTATGTTTTTATTAAAACGGTTTGTTACCACTTTGAAAGGTTGGGGCGGAAAATGGGTACAAAAAGGTTTTACAGATCACAATTAACTCCACTGCTCACCATGTAAGGATTAAGATTACCTTTTCCGTTTGGGATGAATCACGATTTGCTGCCAACAAAGCTTAAGAAAAGTCTGGCAATCTTCGTAGAAATGGCTTTATGATTATCGTGCAATGAAGATTTTTGGGGGAAGAATTTGCGATTATCAAGTTGTTATCTTATAATCAGGCGCGAAGAAGTAAGACCCTAATCGCACATTGTCATAACCCATTAGTAAAGCAGCAGTAGAGTACAAAAAGAAATATATCTCTTCTTGATCTGCTTTGAAGCTGATAGTTGATGTGTCTTTATTGGCTAAACTTATTAGACAAATAAATGTTATGTTGCCCTGGTGATAGCATAGCTGACGCATGCATTCATCTTGATACTGTAAATGTTGTTTTCCTTCCCAAAAGTAGGACTTGTCAGCTTTAAAATCAAAGGATTAAATAGCATTTGGCTGTGATATTCGCTGGTATATTTAAATCTGAGCCTTAAATTCTTAACGAATGGAATACCAACCGATGAATCACTCATTCCACAAGAATCTTGGAATTATCCTGAAGCACCCAATGATTGAACAATAAAATTTTACTTGTGAAAAAAAAATTCTTTGTCGGTATGACGCTGCGTTATGTCTCGGCCAAGTGACTCATCGGATACTTCTCATAAACTTTAAGCGAAGTCGTCGAGTATCGCGCTCAAAGTCCCGTTCGCAAAGTCAAGAAGTTAGCAGTCTGGCCCTCTATCGCAGAATGATTCCCAACTGAACATTGACGGGTTATGACGGGTTATGACATATACGACGAAAAATTGTCAAATACTAATGAAAAAATTTTTTGTACGATGCTCGAAAAGTTCGCTTGTAATTTACGAAACGTATCTGATGAGTCTCTCGGCCGAGACGAAACGCTGCGTCATACCAGCCACGATATTTTTTCACAAATATCTTGCAACTTTTTACTTTAAATAAATTTGTTTCCACTTTTTTTAACGGTATTAGGCATTCACTTAAAATAAAATGTCCCCAAAACTATTCAGACTGATCGAATCATAATTGTTTTAGATTGAGATATTAAGACAAAATGTTTACATTTTAAAATTGTTACAAGTAGATTCCATTTTGTCCTGCGACTGTTGAGCAATGAGTCACAGATGAAATCCAAATCCTTTTGGTAAGGAGAAAAATTGTCAACAAACCACAGGCGGGTGAAACGGTCGTGGAACTGTGATTGAATTAGGCCAAATTTTTTATTTTTGTATGTTTTTAGTAAATCTCAGAACTCTAAAAGTATATGTTTCCTAAAATAAGATGGTAAGATGTACAAAAGCAATTATATATGGATGGAGAAGAGATATCCTTCTATTAATTACTGGTTGAATTTCAGTTTCCTGTCGGTCTTTCGATGTTCTAAAGCTCTTTTGTGCAAACAACTGGAAAAGTTAATTAGAGGTTGTGTGATTAACACACACACACACACAACCACACTTGGGTCACCTTTTGCGGTAACAACAAGTTCTCATTAAGGCGTTCCTTACTGTAAGTGATACGTTAGCGATAAAATACCCTTGGAAGCATCCTTGCTTCGGTTGAGGAGAGATATGCTGGTGAAATGTGCGATTAACGTACCTCTAAGGGCTTTCATTTTAAACTGTTCCATCCCGTAAGCAAGTTCAAGAGTTTCCACTTGGCATTAGGACGCCTCAGCCTGTGTTTACGAATTCTTGCCGAAATATTATTCTCGATTGAGGGTCCTTCCACATGCAAAGTTATAGATACGATATTGGTCTTCTGGTATTCATTTAAAACATTTATGCGATGAATTTACGTGTTTTGAGAGGACCAATATCTTATGTTAGGATATGACATAAAGAACACTTACGAGAGTAAAATTTGAGAATAATCACCGCTCACTTTAAAACCTGAATCAGATTAAAATTGATCTTTTGTATTCACGCACAGAAGTTAAGTCCGCTCTCACGATTCCTCATGTTTGTGTTCCGTCTTGAACTTATCTGTGCGTGCTTGGATCGTTTTACGTCACTCCTATTCACATTAAATATTTATTGTTTGTTTTGGTACGTTCCTATCGCCCTTCCAGTGCTCTTTAGCTTAAAAACCTGCCAAAATCACGCGAAAATGGTGACTGAAAATGCTATGAGTATGCAGTTGTATTTAGTTTTTTTGAAACGAGGCAGCGCTGAATTGAAATAGGTGCTTTGTCCAATTATTTTCTGTGCGGTATGATCTGTAAGCCGCTGAACTAAGATTGTTTTCACGGGGAAAATACCACCGTATGATAATATGTAAATTTTCTCTTTTTGATGTTTTACGTACAACATTTGCGTGGTATTCGATCGAGTAATCATATTTTTCAAGCTTCTCCATAAAATTAAAGATAAACTTTCATCTTGAAAACCACACAAGTGCGTTTTTAAACACATCTTGAGTAACTTAACGCAACGCAGTAGAGTAAGAACTTAAATCTAAATCTTTTCGCGTAGCTAAAATTAACGGCTGCAATCAAGAAGAACACATTAAACTGTCAAAGTTACATCCTACGCAACTTGAGACCAGCTCATATTTCATTCAATCTATGGAATCCTTCTTTTCCTTTGTTTTGGTGACAAGCTAATGTATCTTGTAAGAGAATAATGATGGAAATCGTGCAAAGAAATCTGTCAAGCTTAAAAGCTCATAGCCAGGGTCAAATGTACATGATTATCGCAGTATGATTCCAAATATATATCATTGACCATCGTGTAGTTTTGATAAACGTGAAAAGGTTTATAAAACGTGACTAACTATTGCCTTTGGAATACGTTCCTCCATTTAATTCTGTATGTCAAATACGTTTCATAGAAAAAAATGTTTCAAAAATTATACATCTCAGAGCCGATATAAAAAGAAAACGCTTAGGGCATGTTACCATAATTCTACTAATAAATTAAATGTCAGTTTAAAACTTAAAGCTAATGCCTTCAGTACATTGAAATGAGTTTTCATGTACGTTTCCTTACTAATAACTTAAAATTGCCGCAGAAAAAACCCAGACAAAAAAAGAGACAGAACATAGTGTAAGAGGCTTTTTTCCTCGATGAGGTTCGTCCTAATCAATGAAATATGACAGCGCAATATTTTTTGTTTGCCAAAATTATTTACGCGACCATACTGTAATGAAAAAGACACCAATGAAACCATTAGTTTTAACTTCCTCATAAACAAATGGCTTGTCAACGCTTCATTATTTTGCTCTAAATTTGTCACGGAAATATATTTTCGGAAAAGCGTTCAAACCCAAATAAAGAAAGGATTTTCCCCCAAAAATATTAAATTATTGGTTCTTCCTCTTCATTTTTTATCTTTTAATTATACTTCGTGTTTAGCATTTTAGTTTCCCACAAATTATTTTGTTCTTTGGTTTCTTTACACGTACGTACAAAATTGTGTGGATTTTCAAACCCTATCTACGTTTTACGATTTGTCAATGAAATGTTCTTCAGAACGTCTTGAAATTCTTCTTTCATTCTAAGAAAGCGTAGATAAAGCATGTCTTTCAGCGCCGCGACAAAATTTAGTGTGAAAACCTTATTGCCGGACGCCTGCGATTCGATAGCAAAAAACAGAAAGAGTAAAACAGAGACAAATTTCAGTGTACCACAGTGTTAGAAACAACTAGTGAGAATTTTACAATCTACGTTTTCTTTTATTTCAAGAAATAAGTAAAAGAGCTCTAGTTCTCAGATATACGACTGATTATCGTAATAGTTATTTTTATGTAACACACCCGACTATTTTTGGAATAAAGTTTTAAATATGCCAGAAAACTACCTTGTTTAGATCCTCTGGCCCATGTGAATAAAAATACCATATTTGTTGTCTAAAAAGAATGCAATTTTCAATATTTGGCTTCAAAAGTTCTCTACAAGAAATATTGACACACTGGCAACATCAAACGTTATGATATACAATTAAAACGAACCAACATACCTTAAGAACTGATATGTACACCCTGAAGCAATCTTACCTACAAATTGATATTTCAAATTTCGACTCCCAGGTCGTTTGGCTGACTTTAATATCTTGTGAGCGAAGTGAATAAGATTCCTTTCAACCGACAGCCGTATTTGTATTAAATTTACCTCGTTCTTTGGGTTTTGACGTCAAACCTGCAAATATCTGTTATTTACATGAAAAACCCTGTCATTGTTAATAATAGAACATGTTTTTTTTCTTTTTTCAATCTTGAGGCGACAATGTTCTGTTTTTAGGAGAATGGCGAATGTTCCCAATCAGAGCCACAACAATACTTTTTATTAAGAGGCTACCCAATTTTAGTTCAGCAAATTAATACTGCACTTCCTAGGAAGTCACAAAAGGTTCATGCAAGGCTGCAGTTTTTAGGAAAATTGATTGAAGAAAATATTGCAAGAGAAAATGTTCAATAAAAACTGTATAGAACACTTAGGAGACAACCAAAGGTACACCTTTTTTATGGGTGTTTTTGGAGTGGAGATTCCTCCATCGAATAATGAGGGGACTTTTTTCCTCGGAAAGCTTAACTATTAAAGAGGAAATGGCAACAAGAATGGCTAAAAGGGGGTTAACATTAAACATGTGTCAATGTGGTTCAACAACATTTCCTTGTGAAAACAAATAGAATATTTAATCCTTTGTATTACTACCGTAATTACGCAGGCCTTGTGCTTTACCATTGTATAACCTGTCGAGCTTGAATTGAATGTCATTAATAACTTAAAACTCTCATTTCTATTTTACCTGCCTGTAGGCAAAGATATCTACGAACAAGACTTTCTGATTCCGATCGTAAGGGTAAAATTTACAACGAAGCGTGGTTTTTGCAAAACTAAAGCCTTAACAAACACCTCCACATTAGTCATAATAATTTGACACACGATTATTGCAGAAAATAAAAAAAAATGTGTTGACGGCTTTGTTACGTGCTGAGAAGGAAAAAAAATGATTAATATAAACGAAGCCGCTTAGAT